CCACTCCCCCTGCTTGTGTTCCCTCTCTCGCTGTGTCTCTCTCTCTGTCAAATAAATAAATAAAATCTTTAAAAAAAAAAAATAATCCCAGAACAATGCTTTTGAGAAATGCAGAATTGAAAATGTGCTGTTACAACTGTTAAAAGTATCAGAATTATTTCATCAGTTTATATGACTTCTCCCACATTTGAGAAATAAATCTATTCTACTAAGTCTAAATATATATCTCTAAAAAATGTTATCATTGCTTCCTGATAATTATTTTTTTGTCATTCTCTATTTAGTAAAAAAAAAATAAAGTAGTCTGAACTTTCTTTGCTTACAAATACAACTTTCATTTATTTCCAATGAAAAAGAAAATTTCATTATCTTGAATATTATACTTACAGCTTTATCATGCCTTCTGTCTTACAGATTCTACAACCTAAATTTTCAATTCTGTATCAGTATGTGATTGTGGAATTTCAACTGGTTTATTTGAATAACGGATTTATATCAGCGGAGTTTTACATATAATGATTATAATTAAAAGATGTTTTAAAATACTTAATATGAAAGAATCAGATACATCTACAGCGTTCTGAATGTGCTTATAATATATTTCGTGTCAGAATTTTACACAGCTGTTATACAAATCTGAGTGACAAGGATGTATTTCATAGTTTTCTACTAAAGTTCAGTGGTATTTTCTTGGGTTTTTGAGGGAAGTATCTACTTATTTGTAAAGATTTACAAATCCATAACGTAAGAAATGATTTTTTTTTTTCTGACTCATTTTCAACATGAGGAAATTAAATAAGTACTCTTTGGAGGGAATCAAAGAAGATGTCAATTAACTGATCATAGTATTTTAAGAATTTCTTGATAATTATTTTTTATACTTTTTGTATACCATGAAAACACTTATAAATGAACTTACCTACAACAGACATTTCTGGAACACTAGCTGTATAAATTTCTTCTGGGAACGTTGGCTCATTGTCATTGATATCATGGATTTTGATCACAAACTCAGACTCTGGTTCTACTGGTCTCAAAGTTCTTCTGTTAATAGCTTGTGCACGCAGAGTATAAAAGGCCTTTTCTTCCCTATCAATTCTTCTTGTGGCATGAATGTCACCTGTTTTTTCATCAATAATAAAAAGAGTACCTGCTCCATCTCCAGATAAAATATATTTGAGTGATCCATCTCCTTTATCTTGGTCTGAATGAAGCTAGGGGAAATAAAAAAGAGCACATCCATGATAATGTCTAAAAGTACATAATGCTGAAAGAATTAAAAGTCTCTCATGTCCCATCACTGAATAATGGGGTCAGTTATCTTAGTTCTTGAAATGAGAGTTGAATAAGTATGAACACACTCATCTATATGTCTTAAACAATAAGACTAGCCTCTCACATATCGGTATGATTTTAACTCTAAATGGAAAAAAGTAATAAAAATAAACCAAACAAGTTCCCCTCTTTGCTTTGCTTGGTAAATAACCATTTTCATAGGCAATTAACTCTTGACAAAGACATGTATCATCAGTCTTGACATGCTTGTGTAAACATTACTTCTCTCATCTCTTTCTGTGAGTGGAAAATTCTTTTACTCTCATATTATTGAGGAAATTCTTATAAATTTATTATTTGTTATTGAATTTCCATGGGAGAATTAGAGATGTCTTAACTGTAAGACAGGCAAAGTTGTAAGAGACATAGCACCTATTTTAGAAACACTATGTATTTTTGGTTCACATATGCACACACACACACAAAAGATTGCCCCACAGATATTTTTGGGACTCAGGGAAAGAGTAAAAATAGATGTCTCTATTTTAAAATTATAAATCAAGTTAATAAATTCTACAATAAAATATGCTCTATATAGGCTCCTACCTTGTCAAATCTATCTTCTTAATAACCTCAAACAAGTTTTGTGCAGGAAAAAGGCAATAAATACAAAACATGTCTGTTTCCTGCCCTTTGTCTATGCCCACAACACTTATCTTCCAGAATTCACTCGTCATGTCAAAGAGTGTTGCAGGCATTCATGTGGACATTTCAGCCCACTGTGTCACCCATCCCAGTGCAAATGAGACCCAGGATTCCATGTTTTCATTTTTTATTTTTTATTATTTTATTTATATATATTTTTACTTATATATATAATATATATATATATTATTTTTTATTTTTTATTTTCATGGGCAAAGTCCATCTATGTTGTATTTTAATAGATGCCCACTAGGACTGTCCCCATGGTTCAGGATGCATATAACAGTGGGTAAGTCCGGCTTTTGGGTGACTGACCTGAAGGACAGAGCCTCCTTGGACCTAAAAGCAAGCTGGGGATGTCTGGGCAGGGAATAATGGGTCCCAGGTACCTTGAATATAATCTGGAAATTGATGTGTAGGTTCCAAATGTGAATATCCCCTGCTCTCCATGGAACTCTTACCCTGAATGGTGGAGCTTAGGTATAGGAGGGACAGAGCACGGCTTTGTAAAATACAAGGATTGTAACTTCTTCTTTAATTGTACCATCCAACCAATAAACATTTTCTATGCTGGGATCATAGTTTGATTATTTGCAGTAAGAGATTATGTTTTTAAAATTTTTATTTTGTTTTTCTATCAGATAAGAAATATGAAAACAATGTGTAGATTTGCTAAAGTTCTATAAGGCATTTATTATAAGTTAGACATCATTGCAAACATTTTTTTTAAGAATTCATGTAAAATGTAGTCATAAATCAGAATAGGCACAATGAGGTATAACCTAGACAATTTAAAATTGGAGACAATATCCTTCAATTATGCAAAAAATTAGAGAATTAGATATTTATCTAAATAAGGTTTGGTATTTTGCTTTAGCTTATTTACATCAACAGACATTTTCATCCAATTGCATATATGAATATTAAACTGATCACTTTCTATTTAAAGTAGAATTTTATTTTTTTATTTGAAAGTTTCTTTTTCTTTTTTGGAGCTTATGTCAATGGACTTGGCTGCGGAATCATTTTTACATGAACCTGAACCTGTTTAAAATAAATATATGTTAGAAACATACACCTATAACTAATATGTTGTATTACTGGCTATTGTTGGGTCTATAAAAGCAGTCTACTCTTTAGTTAATGGTTTTTAGTAATTAACATTAAGCCATCAAATTTGGATCAAACTCAGTTTTTCTGATTTCTGGACAAATAACTCATTATTACAGATATAATGGGGGAAAAAAACCCAAATGGATATGCTCTTTAAAGAAAAAGAGAAGTCAGGGAACAAATAGCTTTTTACTGCATTTTTAGCTATTCATAAACAACAAGGTAAGGTTGAGAAACTCAAGAACTATCTGCTTTTAGCTAAAAAGCTCTCAGAAGTAACATATGACTGTGTTGTCCAGGGAACCACTCTCAAAAAGTCACAAGATTGATGCTTTTTAGTAATTGAAAATACACATAGTTGCCAGGAACCTTTCCAATTACATGAGTGTGCAACCATGGCAATTTTCCAAATGGCAGATATAAGCATTGCATGTTTCTTATTCTGTCTGGGAATCAAAATAATTCAAGAAATGATTATTGATATTATTAATCATTGGATCAGATAACTGTGGTTTGAGGCAAACAGTTATGACTTTTATTGTCTATTCATTCAACAATTGTAATTGAGAAATATGTGCTTACTCTCATAAGAATCAAGTACTTCTAAAAGTTAATCAGCAATTCTATTCTAGTGCTATGGAAAATTCAAATGAAATTCACAAGACATCTCCAAAACTAGCCCACAGCAGTATGAGGCTTTCCTACAGCGCTATCATTTAAACTACTGGATAAAGAATGAGTAGAGGTTTAAACTAGGGAAATTTTTGCTTTTTACAAACTGTACAGAACACTAGGTGAATACAGAATGTAGATTTGGAGTGGGGAAGGATATACAGCAAGATGTAAATCATTAAGACCAGTTCTGCTATTCTAATCAGTTAGACATGCAAAAAAAATTGCTAGAATGATGAGATCTTAATTATTATAAAGTTCAATTTTGAAATATGAATCACAGCAGGATTTTTACCTTCACTTATACTATAGAAAGAGAAAATTACGTCTTGTAATTGGGCCCCATACTATGGAAGTTTCCGTGGGATTAGGAAGTTGCACATGATAGAACAAGATCAGAGAGATGAGGGTTAAAAGCTGGACTGTGATTTGAGGAATCAGAAATGAGTATTAAGGAGGGCACGTGTTGGGGGCGCCTGGGTGGTTCAGTCGTTAAGCGTCTGCCTTTGGCTCAGGTCATGATCCTCAGGGTCCTGGGATCAAGCCCCACATCGGGCTCCCTGCTCAGTGGGAAGCCTGCTTCTCCCTCTCCCACTCCCCCTTCTTTTGTTCCTTCTCTCACTATCTCTCTCTCTGTCAAATAAATAAATAAAATCTTAAAAAAAAAAAAAGGAGGGCACGTGCTGTGATGAGCACTGGGTGTTACACGCAACTAAGAAATGAAAGTATTTCTACTTCCTTATAATTAAGGGAAACAAATTAGACCTATGCATTTATAAGTTTTGGTCTTAAAAAGCCAGACTTATAAAACATTTTTCTTAAACCATTAGAGCTTGTGGAAAAAAAAAAGAAGTATCTTATTTTCTTGCAGAACACTAACACTAGAATAAGGGGCCCAAATTACCATTGGCCTGTGTTAATCAAAATATGATTTAAATAAACATGTTGGGAACTGGACAAGAAAGAAACTGCAACAGATATTTACTGTAAGGCAGAGAGATGTATTTCTAGACCGCCTGAGACCTGGGGAGTTGAAACCATGTTTGAAACGCTCACAAGACAAGAGCTAACTCATAGCAGGAATGCTGGTATTACTGATTTCTTACAGTTACAGAACGAGACCAGTGGACAAAATTCTTGAATTATATTCTCCTGCTTAAGTGTCCTCTCTTCTCTTTAAGTTGCTCTTTATTATTTTAATTATCCTTCTTTCGTATATTTTTCCCACCCTTACCCTGGTATAATGTTCCTCATTCCTTGTATGTGTGATAGAATTTTATTTCACATTCCGATTCATTTACTAACTAAGTAAAGATCAGACCAGGGTTAGTTAGTCCTTGCAACGATAGCTTTCACATTACTCTTCTCTTTTTTTTTATTTGGATGTTAGGTATCAATACTTGGATTTATTAAATACTTAATTGAACAAAATCAGTTGTTTATGTTACCAAGAAATACGATTATGGATCATGTGCCAAGTAACTTACAGCATCCACTTTGAAATAACTTTTGTATTGATTTGACCTTGTGCTATTTTATTATGTGAGACATTAAGTTTTCTTTAAACATAGAAAAAAATGTCAGATTATTGTGGCTTTAGTTCCTCAGTAACACCTGTTCTCCTGTGTGAAACATTTGTGCCACAAATCTTTAAGAAGAATTTTATGTTAATACTGACCTTTTCTTTCCTTGAGGAAAGCCTATTAAAAATTCACAACCTGCTGTGTTCATTGTAAATTCACAAGCAGATAAAGGACATGGCAAGATACATGACAATTAATGAAAATAGAACAACTAGTCCTGTGATGCACATTTAAAAGTCATTTTCCTATTATTTAACTTTTCTATTTAGATGTAGTTAATTATATAACCCATTTGCTTGTATCGAGTAGCGTGCTTAATAATTAAAACTGAACAATCCATTGATTTTAAAGAAATACTTTAACTACAAGTTATTTAATGAAAGCCTGTTAATTTTAAATGTGGCAGGTTTCCTCTAATTTTACAACATTTCATGTAAAATGTCATCTTAAGGTATTTGTCTAAAACAAAGTTTGTAACCTAAGAGAGGTATTGTGGCTTATCTAGTTTAAGGCCACTTTTTTTTTTTTTTTAAGAGGAAGAAACTGAGATATGATCAGTTTGTTTTTTTGTTTTGTTTTGTTTTGTTTTATGACACAGAAGTTAAATTAAAATTATACCTCAGGACAGCTGCTATGTTGGTGGAATCTTTATCTCTTAGTATCAGTTCATTTTTTTTTTTAAAGATTTTGTTTATTTATTTATTTGAGAGAGAATGAGATAGAGAGAGAGAGAGCAT